GGCAGCTTAATGAGGTTTGTAAACCACTCATGCCGTCCGGTTGCCAAGTTCGTGGAGGTTTCTAATGGGCGACGCACCACCGTGGTCGTCGCTACAACGCATGCCGTGCGCCGCGGCCAAGAGGTGACCGTCGACTATGGGGACGACCTATGGTTTGTCTGTCAGTGTGGATGGCACGGTTGCCGCCACCAGGACATCCAGGATCAGGACGATCCGTGAAAAGAGGGCAGCCATCGTGTGCACAGGCATATTGGTGCTTAATATGGGTGCTAACTTTGCGCCTTTTTGGTAAAGTTGTACCCAGAGGTTCCGATGTGAGCCTAGATAGCTGACGTGTAAGTGTCTGTGACGCCCGCGCCTTGACGTGAATGTTTGCGCCATCTTTGGCTTCCATTGCAGTGTTCAAGAACCAAACGGGTGGTTTCGCGCGCAAACTCGAGCGCGAACCACGTTGAAGTTGCTGGTTTGGCGCGCAAATTCGAGCGCGAACCACGTTGAAGTAGCTGCAGAGCCTTTTGAAGATCCAAGATAGACTACTGGTGGATCGAGAGGCTTCTCTTGTAGGTGCGAACTGCGGGCCCGGGGCTGGCGTCTCTCACTTTCCATTTCGCCTCGCGGCAAGCAACCCTCACTTCAAACAAGACCTCTGCCCCCCTCTACTTCGATCGGTACGCTGCTACTCGACCTCGCGCCCATGAAACCGCACCTTGACTGACCCGCTGTTCTTGTGTATGATAGAAATGGTCCGAAACGCAGGAACGTCTAACTACTCAATGGCCGACATCGAGCGCATGTTGAGACTCGTCGAGAAGGTACTTCCGTTGGGCAAGGACGAGTGGGAGCGCCTCGCTACCTCGTTTAACACTAGCAAGCCCCGTGGAGCACCCGAACGTGACTTTGAGAGCTTACGCCGCAAGTTTCAAGCAGCTTTACAGCACCCGCAAGCCAACGGGGATGGCCAGTATGCCTCCCCATATCCAGAAGGCCAAGGAGGCTAAACAGGCTATTGACGACAAGGCTAACGTCGTGGAGCTAGACGATGAGGCGGGAGAGGACGAGCGCTACGGAACCGGACTTCAGCTTCGATGCGGAGCCTGACCAGACCTTCTACGAGCCGGACGTCCCTGAGATCCTTCGTGCTGCCACCGGAAGAAACGGCGCTGGGTCTGTCCGTAGCGAGTCGACCGGTACGGACGAGTCAGTCATTAAAGGGCTTACAGACCCAACCCGCGGTGAGTTCCAGGACTTGTTATCGTCATCACTTTCTCCACAAGGACTTGAAGTCGGCGGTACAACCCCTCGCCCTGCACCACCACGTGCATCACCGGCTACGAGACAAGACACTTCGGCGAGAACGCACCGACACGGGGACCACGGTCACGACGCCAGAAGCAGGGACGAAGTTGAAGCTGCCAAGTATCCGGAGCTTAGTAGTCGCTCTAACCGCCTAGGAGGGGTGGACTTGACCGAGTTTCGAGACACAGCAGGCGCCAAGCGTGCCCATGAAGACGATAAGGAAACGCAAGAGGCCAGCTTCGCGAAGGCAAAAAGAATTCGTGCCATGAAGGCGACGACGGCGCTTAAATCGAGGCTCGAGGGACTTATAAACTCGGCGAACAATACTCGCGGCAATATCACGGAGACTATACTTTTACTACGCGAGGAAAACGAGCGCAAAGCTGAAGCTCGCCGCGAAGAGGAGGAGCCAGCGTCGCCGAGATGATATGGCGGTGATGGAAGCACGTCGCCTCGCTGAAAGAGCCCAGGCCGAGGAGCGCCGCCGCATCGACAGGCAGGAAATGGAAGAGCGCGCACGCCGTGACCGAGAGGAGGCGCGTGCTCGCACCCAAGAGCTGGTGATGCTGATCGGAGCCCTGACGAAGAAGCCCTAGGACGTCAGCGAAGACACTTCTGGTATGCACATCAGTACGAGGCTCAGCTTTCCGATTTCAGTAGTGTATTTTTGTATTTTCTCTCTTAAGCCTTGAAATGCACAAACGCTCATAGCTAACGTGTTAGAGATCGAAAGCTTCCGTTTCTCCTAGAAAAGTGGTGCGGATCTGTGAGATTCCCACGGTGCGAACTCTGTAGTTGACCATGCGGAACAAGCTGCCAATTCGGAGCCCGCGAAGATCCGGATCGTACGGCAAGGGGAGATTCAATCGGTGGTACACCTTTTGTATACTCCCCATGCCCCACTCGGCGGCCTGGCGCACCGACGTGATGGCATTGTGGAGCGTCCGGGCGGAACTTCGAAGTGACGGCAAGATCCGGTCCAGGTCGCCGTCCTTCAGCGGGGTCAAGATGCGGCCAGCCATTGAGGTTGAGCAGGGAAACGCTGAGTCCGACACCACGTTCATGCGTTGGTCGGGGCAGCACACCGGGTCAAGGAGCTTGGTTCGAAAGCCGAGCGACGTATCCGAGTCGTTCCAAGATCCGGGACAATTGTGCTTCGCCCAGATAATACAGCCGTCTGCTGCGAAGCATATTGTCCCGGTGACGAACACGGTGTGGAGCCAGCCATTGTACATGGCGTTCTGCAGGTCACTGTTGGACGGCTGCTGGACCTGCAACACAGCAGAAAACGTTGAGTAAAATAAAAATCGTTTGAAATTCCATACACGTACTCTCAGGTTCTTTCCGTCGATAAATCCGAAGGTGTGCTGCAGGAGGGGCTCCCGAGCTTCAACCAGCTTAGCCATTTCGGCTTGACTAGATGGAGAAGGCCAAGAGATCCTTGCTGGTGCATATCCTTTAAGTGCAGAAGCCAATGATTCCTCTGCGCGACGTAGTGTCCGTGACAGTGTGCTTGGGGGGACACCAAATACCAAGCACAGCGTTGTCTGCTCCATAGAACCCACGTAGAAGGAAATTAAAAGACCCAGCACTTGGTGATGGTGTCGTAGCTTGGGTGGGCGGCCACGTGTAGTGTGGCGTGGAATGAAGTAAAATCTGCTGAACCTCCGCAGGAGCTGGTTGAACGCAGGTCTACAGACATGTAGCGATTAGCTAACGTGTGCAGTTTTAACAACACTAGATAGGGTCTCACCTGGTTAAACTGGTAGCATTGAGGAAGTTCACGTTGTTGCCATACTTGTACAGGATCATCCAAGCCGATTCGCTCGGCGTGTCAAGGCACTTTGTCGTGAGGTAGTGCCGGCTCCTCATGGCGATTCTCCACGCATCCGCCATCAGCACGTCAAATACTACACGTCGCACGTCGTTCAACTCCTCTTCTTGCTTCAGAACCTCTGCACAGAGAACCAGCGTCAGGTCTACGTCGTCTGTGGCCTCGCTCGCCATCGTGGTGTTCACTTGCGCTCGACACGGGCCAATTTGAAAGTGAGCAAAATTCGAAGGGTGCAATTTCGCGTAGTGTCCGGCACAAAGTGTCGAGTACAGTTTTACAAAGTGTTATTTTTTTATTGTAGCTTTTGATGTAGGACAGTAAGAACCGGACAAAACAAGCAGTCAAAATACATTTGTGGTAGAAGTTTTGAGAAGTAAGCCGTCATATATCTTTTTAAACTCTGACTTATCTGCTGCAGATAAGTCGGTCGCTTAAGTGATAATTGGCAGGCGCCCACTGGCGGACGTGGTCTCATTTCCAGACATGCGGAGGTAGTTCGTCAAGAAAGGGTAGATCACGCTGTACATGGTGCCGTAGACTACACCGACAGCAGCGTATTGGGCCATCAGGCCGATGTTGCTCCAGCTGTAAATGTCGGGTGGGTCTCCTAGACGAATGGCTCCATCTTCAAGCTCGTGGATATCAGGAGTCTTCAGTTCATGGTAGTCGTCGGGCTTGGTTGGCAAACTCGAATTCGACAAGCGCTGCACATCAGGAATGTTCATTGTTGCCAGCGGAATGGGAAATGACTACCGATAAAGCAAGCTACCAGAGCAACGGTGCTGCCTGCCGCCTGTAGTATATAACGAGTGAGTTTCTGCTGTGTACACGAAGTCAAGGTGCGTGCACTGCGCCAATCAGAGGTGGACGGTTTTCCGACTAGTCGAAAAAAGGGACACAACTTCTTCGCGAGTCGATCAGTAGAACATCTGTACACATGTTACTTGATACTGTAGTCGCTGTAAACGTTGACTACAAATTCAGTCTTCAAGACTGAATTTGTCTTGAAGACTGAGCCTTAAAGGTAGGCGTTCAAAAAGACACAAGGTATGCAAATGTGCGACTCTATTCCTCAAACTTGTGAGAAGCAAATGACATTGAACCGTGGTTCGCGTTGTTGCTGGCTGACATGTACTAAGTTTAGCTTGCTGGTGCGTTAGAACCACCAGATGTGCGATGATCAACGAGTTTCGTACGACGGTTGCAGCCATTTGGACTGGGTCACATGCAGAAGAGAGCGTCAGCTATGAAGTGAGTTGACAGTAATGTTGTGCAGGCGTATGCAAATCTGCCCCTTCAAAGAAAGAAATTTAAACAATGAAGCTAACTTTTGCAATCCAACTTGAAATCCAATAGCCACATGTGTATGTACATATAGCGGCTGCGTGCCTCCACGATCAGCTAACGTAGCCTTAGTTTGGTTAGAACAATAGGTTCACTTCACCAGTTAGCCGAGTCGGGTCACTCGACTAACCTTCTGGGCCTCGACGACTCTTACACCGCGAACGAAGTGGCACATTTAATGCAGTTCAGTATTTTGGCATGTAAATCCGATTTATCGGGCTGCAAAAAAGAAAAAAAAATGGCCACTTAAAAAAATGGACTCGAATAATAAAAATAAAGCTTATTTTTCTGGGTTTGAATTGAATGGAGAAATCGATACCTGGGACTGAATCCTATCCAGAGCGTGTGGCGATGACAGCATCCCGTGTTGCTATGGTGAACAAGATCCTACTCATGCCGAAGACTTGTTTTAATAGTTCAGAAATATATTTGTAAGAAGCAGTAGTATTTTGCGATAAATAACTAATAATTTCAGACTAAAAAACAAATTCAATTGATTTATTAATAATAATACTTTTTCCTAGCCCTGATCTATGTAATACACTGCAGTATCTATCGCCAACCGAATGTGTTTGTGAATGCCTCACCGCGAGGCCGTCGCCGTTCTACACATGACAGCTCCGCAATGACAGCACAGTTAAATTCCCCACACAGAAGTTTCATTGTTCCGTCCTCGATTTTGTGAGTGATGGTCGCGTGCTTGGTAGCAACATAAGTATCTCGCTTCGAGTTCAACCCACCGTGTTAATCAGCAGTTTCTTGTGGCTAGCACTGCATCCCAAAAGGGCACAACACGCTCTGAGCTGTGGGTCAGTTTCCAACCTTCCGCATAGCAAACAAGCTATATTCAATGGCGACGACAACCTGCCAAATTTGCCTGGATAGCATCGAGAAAGAACAATTGCTCTCAAACGTTTGCGGGAAGAGCTGCAGCGCCCGTATCTGTGAGCAATGCCTGGTCGTCACGTCGAGGTGACGCTACAGCAATTCTACCCTGGCGTACTACCTCGAATCCGCTGCCCAATCTGTCTGGTCCCGATGCATGCGAGTCGCTGGGAAGCGTGCGCTCCAACAGATACGAAGTCTACGTTGACGTCCAAGTACGCAGAGCTGTGTGGCCAGACATGCGCAGTGACGCCTCCATGCTGCCACAAAACAGGCTACACACATCTTACGGTGTTTGATCCTGATCGCAAACCGTCAAGCCCAGTCATGTTGCTACCATCGCAACTCGAGATATTCAAGACGCTGTGCAAGGAATTCTGCCGCCACAAACAAGAGCCTCGTACAGTTCTGAACTATGCGTTTGGCACCTTCGGAGAGGAGAAAGCTTCGATCCTCTTGAACGAGCTGATGTTGCCTCGTATTCAGGACCCGGAGCGACGTGCCACTCTGCTGCTGTCCCTGATGTACTTCCGACCCAACACAAAGACGAACTGCTGCGGACACAACTTCTGCTTCAACTGCAAGCGTCGCGATCACCACGAGTCGTGCGCAGAGGAATTTAATGACAATAACGACCTGGTGCGCTGCCGTACGTGTCGAGTGCTGCTTCTAAAAGTTGAAGGCTGTGACGCAGTGCAATGTGTCTGTGGATTCAACATGAACTGGGCGCGGGAGATAACCCTCCGTCGAGACCGAAAGAAGGGCAAGCTGCCGGTTGATATCTTCGACATCCTGCTGACGAACGACTGGCTCATCTTTCAGAGTCGACTGGCCGTAGTTGTGAAAAAGCTATGGCTGCACAAGCACGTGGTTGCAATGCGCCCCCTGGTTCGCCCACTCTTCGTCGTTTACTTGTGGCGGTTCCGTCTCCGCAAGGTTCTTACAACCGAGTTAAGCGCTGGCTGCGTGGCACGACGCGCTACACACGTCGATTATACTATTGCTAAAGTCAGAGGTGTTCTACGACCGGCCGTGGCATCGTGCGTCTGGCGTCGGAGATTTAGTAGGGCGGTGGCAGGTGTGGAATCTGAGATTTTTTGGAAGGCATATCGTCGCTGGCACCCGAAAGACGCCGAGTCTCAAGCTGAAGAAATAAATACTCTGCTGAACATCGGCACGTACGATGACGGCGAGTAGGCATACAACATGCTTGATACTGCATGTACTAGTATAGTAGTAAAGGAGGAAATAATTGCGGATGATATCTATTGAACTACTTCGAAGTTAGCTACAAACAAGTGTTCGTTTTTGGCATTAGAGCGATATTAGAATATCCAAATGTAGGGACACTGACATGCTAGAAGGAGTGTGCGGGTCTACATCTACGCGTAGCTAAAAAGACAGCTCCTGCTAAAAATTACTTAATATTTTCCCTTGCATAATCATGTTTGATGTCCGTTAGACGTAGCACCGGAAGTAGCCTCAAAATCGAAGAAATCTTTCCTTTTAATTGGACAAATAGTGTATAATGGCCCGTAAGATGCAGTGAAAGTCGATTTCGTGATTGATACTGTTTCTGATGCCGACGAGTCTTCTACTTTATTAATACCTGATCGGCAGCCACACCAGTGTTTAGTATGCACTCATTCTAAACAGTGGTGTGGCTGTGGAGCAGGTAAAGAAGAAGACTCGTCGGCATTCCCCCCCCCCCGCGATTTCCACCACTGATGGCATCAGCTTGACGATCCATTTCCCCCATGAAGTTCACCACGGTTTCGCAACAGCTGCTGCCTCCATTTATAAAAACGTGAATAGAAGCAGTTTGGCCAGGGCGAATTCATGCACCTCTATTTTTTTAGCTTACGCGCATTGTTGCCTCCTTAAGCTTTTCCCAAAGCTGGTATTGGGGTGTCGGTACATAGTAAAGTGGGCTACTTGGGTTCTTAGACATCCATTGATTCGTTTTCTTGTCAAGACCAAACCAAATATGGAGATGATCGGGAGTGACACCTTCCTTCAGCAAATTCTGCGCAGCAGCGTCTAGATCATCGGAGCTTACTTGCGCTTTCGCGAGTTTTCTAAGCTTTCGGTTCTTCAATTTCTCGGCCGCTATGAACGCTTTGAATTTGGCTTTCTCAGCTGCCGCTATATTCCTGTTGGTAAACCAGACCGACGCTTTATTGACCAGCTTGTTGCGTAGGTCTGTGAGCGCTCTCCTTTCTTCGTCGGCCCTGTCGATTGTCCCATGCGTCTTTGTTCCTGCTCGAACCAGTTGTTGATTGTTATTAACGGAATTCAACTTTTGATATTTGGGTGCTCGTAGCCTGGCAAGCTTAGTGGTCCCCGAGACAGAATAGCTGCCTGCGAGTAAAAAAAGCATAACCAGAAGCAGGGCATGATGGATCCGCATCGTTGACTGCTCTTGACTCGGTCCCCACACTTTTATAGTGTTTCCTCCTGGTCGAAAACGAAAATGATAACTTTAATTGAAGAGAGCAGGAATGAACACAGCATAGGATAGTTGTACATGTACATTTTCTTACCCACTCTGTTACTGAAAGACTTTCAGTAACAGAGTGGGTAAGAAAATGTTCACAATAACCAGTATAATTGTACTTTCAGTGAAAGTACAATTATACTGGTTATTGTGAGCTGCCCTTTTTAGAGCGTCGCAGTATGTCTCACTCAATCCTTTACGGTATGGTGGCCGCAAAGCCGATTACGATGGTCGTAATTTGACTATAAGATATTTCACCACTTCATGATGACTCCCGGCCAAAATAATGCGATAAATATCACTATACGCAGCGCATTACGCGTGACGTTTATTAGGCACATACCGTCTTATCACTTAATCCGATTTTTACGAATGATATTTCTACATACACGGGCAACAGTTAATTGTAGTACAGTACTGCACCCCGTTTTCGCGCCCTTGGACCTTTGATAAACTTCCTGATGCGATGGTCCTGAATCTAAAAGAACTAAAGTTTGTAACCTAAAGTCTGATTAATTTGCAAATCATATCTGGTCCACCCCTGCGAAAACGGGGTGTAGTACTGTACAGTAGCGATTTTGAAGTAAACATGTATACCGTATGCAAAAATACAACAGATAAACGATTACCGAGGAACTGTAATTTATCCTATCTGCAAGTGATATGACCGACTGGCTACTCTTCCCGACAAGCATAAAATAGACTGTTGGCAACGCTGAAATACAGTACTGTACTAGGGTTTATCACGGTTGGAAAGTATGTTTGACCAGTGTTGCCCGATTTCGTTTGATGAACAAACAGAACGAACAATGAAGAAATCTGCTGGGTGATCGGTGCGTCAACGGTTTGTTCACGCCATCTGGTCGGAGGAGGGACAAATTCCTGTACTGTACCTTATATTTGTTTCCTGCGAAACCGATGCAAAGTCCACTATCTAGAGTGAGAAGGTCCAACTCTTCATATAAAGGTACTTCGAGGTATTAATTATTTTGGCTCTTTTCGTTTTATCGTTTCTAGACACGCAACGACTTACATGTTAATTGAACCACTACTGTAAGTGACAAACTTTATGTAATTTTGCGTGTACTGTATAAATACCAGCACGTTTTGCAACTCGGTTTGCAACAGGATTCTGATTGGGTACGATTAGATTAGGGACCAAGGGTATCAACAAGTACGTGGTCATCTACATGTACTACAAGTTTTGCACTACACACGCAGATTGGGATGTCTACCGCGCCTACGATCAGCACGAAGAGCCGCCAAGACGTTTGAAACAGAGAGCTGTCTACCGTAAACCGTATACACTTTGTCAATTGCTGTGTCACTCGTGAAACCCGAGCGAACCAGACTTGACACAACGTCCCAAAACACCTTTCGTCTTGAGAAGGCAAACTTGTTAGCGCCACGTTCGGCTGCTGTAAAGTCCTTCGCTGCCTTCAATTCTGCACAGCCAACTTGATATTCATGCCATAGTTCGTACAGATCCTTTGGTCGTTTTGATAGTTGGGCTGCACGTTGCCTTGTAGGGGGAACTTCTCCGGCAGGAATGTGGGCAGAGACATCTCGACGAACGCCAGGCTGTATGGCAACGCGTCGAACTATTGCCTGGAGTTTTTGCAGCTCTCTCTGAATATCGCGTCGTAATTGCTGAACTTCATCCGTTGTATGGCGGCGAATTGCTGCTATTTGAGCGTACAGTGCTGCGAACTCGCGCCGACTACCTTCCCCACCCGACACATTACCACCAGAACGTGTAACAACTGCATTGTTCTCTTGATCAGGGCCCTCACTGCTGTCCATTATGACGAGATTTAGCTGCGAGCCATCGCCAGTGACGAAAATTCCCTCCCGAACAACAGGATTTAGCCCTGAAGTGTCAGCAATATTAGCGAATGCGCGTAAAATTCTCTGCTGTAGCTTTTTCGGTAATAAAGCGTACTCGTAGTTCTCAGATGGTTCCATCGCCGCCCACAATAATGGCAATGCCAATGTAGCTGCAATGGATTCTCCCATGAGCTGTTTTACGGCAGGTGCAATCTGATCTACGAGAAAAACGGTCGAAATGCGGCCAGCTCCAGTCCGCATATTATAAAAGCACGGCCCCTCTGAACCTGTTAACGTTGCTACCGTCAATGCATCAGGATACGGTGGGGTGTTGTCTATGTAGACGTCAACAACCCCTTTGCGCGTTCTCCAACGTCCTCGTCGGTTAACAAAGTCCTTTGAGATACCACTCCGAGTCGCGTACGTTGCAGCACCTTTGCGAAGGCTGTGTGTCCCCAGCTTTCCTGTCTTGCGCTTTTTAAATGAGTCGTTCTTCACCATGCTAGTCAAGAATCGTCGAACTACACGATCACCGTCCTTAGGATTGCCGTACACAAACTCAGAGCTCATGACACTTGACGTAGACTCTATATGAACAGCGAGGTTGAGAAGTACACACATCTTGGGATCCAGGCTACCAATAATGATCTGCTCTGGAGCATCTCGCTCTTCGTGAATATTTTTTGACCACCGCACTTGCAAAAGTAGTGTGGAAGGGTATTGTGTGTTAGGTGAGAAGTTTGCGAATTGCAACTTCATCATGTCGTCAATCCGGGCGCAAATATGCCACTGCAGTGTTAGCACACTGCTAACCAAGTATGATGAGTCATCCGATTTCCATCGAGCCCGAACTAAAAGCAGTAAGTTCAAGAACTCAGCAAACTCCACAGCTCGGCGAGCTTTGGATTCTGCCCCCTCGCGACGTACCTCAAATTTTTTCACCTTCTTGATCAGCTTGTTCACAGCGTCCGAGCGTGTTGGGTTGCCGCGTTTGTTCACAGGATCCCATGTTGTATTTATTCGCGTCATAAAAGATGATATAGCTTTCTTAGCAAACTCAAGCGTGCTTGAGCGGCGGTGAATAGGTTTCATGGATTCATCTGGCTCTGGGTCGCCGTAAGCCTGCTGGTTCATCCAGCGACAGACGTGCTCTGGTGTGATGTTAAGGAGCTCGCTCATAGTGAAGACGTAGTCGCTGCTGTACGCCACGCCGTTCGTGAAGGCCATGAACCTCATGAGCTCCGGTTTGTAGCGACTTGTCATGATGGCGTGTTTTTCTGTACTGATTATTAATATTCTCCATGAAAGCCAGTGTAAGTTGACTTATTTTTTGTAGAGAGGCTACACTGGACGGCTTGCAACTCTACACAGACTTTTTGTATCAGTCCTGGTTGCAAAAGATGACACTTTGTGCTATGGTACATGCAACAATAGTTGCCGACGACACCTACTTGAGCGGGACCGTACCGACCACGATCCAGGCCGGTACCATGCCATTGGCCAATCACAGACTGCCAATCTAAACAAATACAACCTCGGTTGCATATGGCTGGTAATGTATAAATGCCAGCACGTTTTGCAACTCGGTTTGCAACAGGATTCTGATTGGGTACAATTAAATTAGGGACCAAGGGTATCAACAAGTACGTGGTCATCTACATGTACTACAAGTTTTGCACTACACACGCAGATTGGGATGTCTACCGCGCCTACGATCAGCACGGAGAGCCGCCAAGACGTTTGAAACAGAGAGCTGTCTACCGTAAACCGAATACACTTTGTCAATTGCTGTGTCACTCGTGAAACCCGAGCGAACCAGACTTGACACAACGTCCCAAAACACCTTTCGTCTTGAGAAGGCAAACTTGTTAGCGCCACGTTCGGCTGCTGTAAAGTCCTTGGCTGTCTTTAATTCTGCACAGCCAACTTGATATTCATGCCATAGTTCGTACAGATCCTTTGGTCGTTTTGATAGTTGGGCTGCACGTTGCCTTGTAGGGGGAACTTCTCCGGCAGGAATGTGGGCAGAGACATCTCGACGAACGCCAGGCTGTATGGAAACGCGTCGAACTATTGCCTGGAGTTTTTGCAGCTCTCTCTGGATATCGCGTCGTAATTGCTGAACTTCATCCGTTGTATGGCGGCGAATTGCTGCTATTTGAGCGTACAGTGCTGCGAACTCGCGCCGACTACCTTCCCCACCCGACACATTACCACCAGAACGTGTAACAACTGCATTGTTCTCTTGATCAGGGCCCTCACTGCTGTCCATTATGACGAGATTTAGCTGCGAGCCATCGCCAGTGACGAAAATACCCTCCCGAACAACAGGATTTAGCCCTGAAGTGTCAGCAATATTAGCGAATGCGCGTAAAATTCTCTGCTGTAGCTTTTTCGGTAATAAAGCGTACTCGTAGTTCTCAGATGGTTCCATCGCCGCCCACAATAATGGCAATGCCAATGTAGCTGCAATGGATTCTCCCATGAGCTGTTTTACGGCAGGTGCAATCTGATCTACGAGAAAAACGGTCGAAATGCGGCCAGCTCCAGTCCGCATATTATAAAAGCACGGCCCCTCTGAACCTGTTAACGTTGCTACCGTCAATGCATCAGGATACGGTTGGGTGTTGTCTATGTAGACGTCAACAACCCCTTTGCGCGTTCTCCAACGTCCTCGTCGGTTAACAAAGTCCTTTGAGATACCACTCCGAGTCGCGTACGTTGCAGCACCTTTGCGAAGGCTGTGTGTCCCCAGCTTTCCTGTCTTGCGCTTTTTAAATGAGTCGTTCTTCACCATGCTAGTCAAGAATCGTCGAACTACACGATCACCGTCCTTAGGATTGCCGTACACAAACTCAGAGCTCATGACACTTGACGTAGACTCTATATGAACAGCGAGGTTGAGAAGTACACACATCTTGGGATCCAGGCTACCAATAATGATCTGCTCTGGAGCATCTCGCTCTTCGTGAATATTTTTTGACCACCGCATTTGCAAAAGTAGTGTGGAAGGGTATTGTGTGTTAGGTGAGAAGTTTGCGAATTGCAACTTCATCATGTCGTCAATCCGGGCGCAAATATGCCACTGCAGTTTTAGCACACTGCTAACCAAGTATGATGAGTCATCCGATTTCCATCGAGCCCGAACTAAAAGCAGTAAGTTCAAGAACTCAGCAAACTCCACAGCTCGGCGAGCTTTGGATTCTGCCCCCTCGCGACGTACCTCAAATTTTTTCACCTTCTTGATCAGCTTGTTCACAGCGTCCGAGCGTGTTGGGTTGCCGCGTTTGTTCACAGGATCCCATGTTGTATTTATTCGCGTCATAAAAGATGATATAGCTTTCTTAGCAAACTCAAGCGTGCTTGAGCGGCGGTGAATAGGTTTCATGGATTCATCTGGCTCTGGGTCGCCGTAAGCCTGCTGGTTCATCCAGCGACAGACGTGCTCTGGTGTGATGTTAAGGAGCTCGCTCATAGTGAAGACGTAGTCGCTGCTGTACGCCACGCCGTTCGTGAAGGCCATGAACCTCATGAGCTCCGGTTTGTAGCGACTTGTCATGATGGCGTGTTTTTCTGTACTGATTATTAATATTTTCCATGAAAGCCAGTGTAAGTTGACTTATTTTTGTAGAGAGGCTACACTGGACGGCTTGCAACTCTACACAGACTTTTTGTATCAGTCCTGGTTGCAAAAGATGACACTTTGTGCTATGGTACATGCAACAATAGTTGCCGACGACACCTACTTGAGCGGGACCGTACCGACCACGATCCATGCCGGTACCATGCCATTGGCCAATCACAGACTGCCAATCTAAACAAATACAACCTCGGTTGCAAATGGCTGGTAATGTACATGTATCAGTATGATTAAACGTACAGTAATACTGAGTCGCATGGCATCATCACAATAAAGATTATCGTAAGGGATTGGTATTAGTGTACATTTTTAGAATATTAGTACTACAGCTATTAGTCGTTTTTAAACAAAATAGTACTAAATAGCTACTAATAGTGAGCGGGTTGTCTGCTTCTATTTGCTAATAATAAAATAAGTAGAGCGCGCTCGATTTCCAATGGTTTGATGGGGCATTCCAACATGCGTCTGCCAGCAGAATTTAAACCATTTTCATCTTATTCACCACTGTTTTCGTCACGAGCCGAAGAGTACCTCACGGTAATATGGTACTTATTGACAAAGAAGCGCCAATTCCGTTCTGGGCACTGACGTCATTTTTACTGTTTGGCTTAAAGTGCTAGTCACTTGTCGCCCTACTTTTATATGCTTGAGCTTGAGACTCGAATGTAATAAGCAAATCCGAGAGCAGGCAGCCCGTGTCGATCACATGTGACTCGTACCTACACGCATTATCAGACCTCACCACAAACTTTGCATCGCTGCATCCTAGAAAATTCACCGCATTTCTAAGCGCAATATACACCAATCTGTCGTTTATAAAGCACATTTTTTGTTAAAATTAATTTTGCACTCTCATACAGCTTAGATCTTCGAACGGAGAGGCGCTTTGCTTTTTTCAGTGACAATTCCGCATATTGTAATAATCTGGGTCTGATGCCCCTCCCCACGTAAGTTGCACGGTCTTTTGGTCACTATAAGCTTCCGCATATTTTACGACTCCTAAACCTTGCTAGAGCTTAGCGATAGCAAATAATACACATTCGGTGTCCACAAAAGATTCTACTTCGAGCAATTGTCTGGTAGCGCTCTAGACTCAAAACGGTGCGATATTGACCTGTTTAACCCCTTGGACGCGGAGGTGTGACACGGATAGGCTAAGAAAAGTGCTTATACCCTCCGGGAGGGTATAAGGAAATAACTTCGTTAAAATATGATATAATTATTTCAAGGTTAAAAATGCACTTTCTTAGCAGCGAATGTAGCTAACCTCCTTGGTAATTATTCCACAGAAGGGGATGGTGTGATCAGCGGATTTAAAATTCTCCAATCAACTGTTTCCTGGTCATTCTATGCAAGCTCTAAATTTGGAGACAACCACAGCACACGCATCACAGACCAACATCTCCCTCCTTCCCTCAACTAGACCCCAAGCAGCGGTGCAAACTATAGCGGCATAGTGGCGGTAACTGGATGGCCAAGTGAGAGCTAGCAGAGGCGAATGCATGTGCAGGTACGGTGCCAATAAATGGTTGAGATTGTGAAGATACGTGTATTGACAACGTTAGCTACGGGTTGGCAAGACTACGGTCCCGAATGTGACTCTCCTTTGGCAAAACCTCACCGTTCTGCCACAGGATATGCCATATCTGTGCACACGTCATATATTCGCTTGCTGGATGCCCTCGGACTATGTTGCAAAGCGTCACCACACCCTTCTTGTCCTCCGAACACTTTGGGCAATAGAATGTCGATGTCCCCCCACGCCGCTTACCTTCACTTGTAGCAGGAGCAGACTTTACACTGGCGCTGTCTCAGCCTCTGAACACCGTTGTTCATGCGCGTATCTGCCGTTTGAACTAGTACATGCCCGCCATGTACAGTAACTTGTTCAGTAACTGTAGTAGTAGGTCGAGATAATCCGGTTGTCTCTGTAAATGATGTCTGTGTTTGAAGAATAAGTTGCTTGTGCATTCTTGCCAAGAACACGTAATGCGACATCTTCTTCTTGCTCTGTTTCTCCCACAACAGCGAATGTACAATGTACGCGTTCACCATGGCCATGTCTAATAGCCCAAGGAAGAGACTCTTGTAGAATTTCGGAAATCTGGTATACAGAACATCATAACTTAGAGACCATGAGTTGACATTGTCAGGGTAGCATTTACCCTGCTGCTAATTGCATAGAGTACGACTGAAGTCGCAATTGATCATGGCGATCAACACCACCCATGAAGCGCTGGTATTCTGCAACAATCCCCGGGCATGGAACAGTACTCTGCTCTCCATTCATTCGTCATCTTCTTCGTCTACTTTGTAGAAGGCTTTGCGGCCTTCTGCTCTGTAGATGTCTGTTTCACGCGTTTCTTCGCCGGCGCTTTACCTGACGCAGGAGCATCTCTCTTTGGCGCAATTGCAGCCTCGATTTCGGGCGGATCAGGTACTGGAGTGGGAGAGTCTGACGCAGCAGCGCCTATAGTGCTTTGGACTAAATTTCAATACAAATAGTAAGTCACTTTTGTAAACACATAGTAACAGCAAGATACTACTTACTCGCTTGAGAAGGCGGGCGCACCCATACGTTCGCGATATTAAGCCGCGCGCACAGCTCTGTATTGCGACGCACATACGCCAGTAGTTCATCCTCGCCGCTGAAATAGTCCGTGCCGCGTTTACCTCCCCTAACTTTGCTTCCTGGTTTCAGGTAGTTGTGACTACACGCATTTATGCAAGTTAGTACATTAGTGTGGTGCAGCAAAGTAGACAAAAAGGTAGCGTACTGGATCTGGATGCCGGCTGCAGGCTTCCACGTCCAACCCTCCTTTCGTAGAAGTGGCCATACTGACTTGAAATCCATAAAGTAAGTCATTCTTGCGCTTGACTCGGCAAAAACGAAGAATGAGTGGCTTGGCGCGAAAACGGCAAAGGGAACCAAATTTCACTTTTTTCCAAAATATGAGAGTCTGCTCTTTACGCGCGGTACATCAAGCCCCCTGTTTCATGAACCAATTAAATTGTTGGATTTGTACACGTGGACCAATAACAGTCGATCAATTTATGGGAAGGGGCGTGGCTACGCTTTTGTGGATTTCGTGGCATAGTGAATCTAAGTAATTGTTATGCTGTTCTGAACAGCATAAGACCATACTACAACCCTCCGCGTCCAAGGGGTTAAGGGTAAATTTCTCTTTTGAGTAACTCTGAAGCGTATTGCTTCGAAGAAGTGTACAATCCAGCAGTTTAGTACCCAGTTTTAATAAGTGTAAGTTATTAATACCAACTTATCGTCGCGACTAAGAACATATGAATGAGGTAAAGCATGAGCTCGCACGTACTAGTACCAACTTGGTACTATGGTACAGTAGAACGCCTGCGATATTGAAATCACCAAATAGCCTTCGGAGTCATGTCACCGATGCAGCGGGTTTCTGGCTCGGCTAGGTGGGCTTAATTCCGTAGTCAACATGTTAAATTAAAGAGGCCCATTTAAACCGGTGCAACCCGCTCAGCTTGTTTGTTGGCACCCGTTTTTGGTAATGTTAGGCGATTAAGAGAATGCAAGCGACTGGCCAAGTGTAAGATTCTTAAGTACTTCGTAAACCAGCTGATTCATTTTTAAACCATTTGGTTAAAATAAACAATGCATTGCTCGATATTAATATTTTACGTACGCAAGCTACGAGGCTATTTCTAGCTGCGAAAGACTTATCTACACGAGTATTTTCTCTATTTGCAGTCGTGGTGCCGTAGAGGAAAGATACCCCCCTCGAAATATTCGGTGTGGGTGGCCGATAGTTTCGGTGACCGATCCCATTAGGTCGGTACAAAATTTGATCTACATTGATAATGGACATCAAACCAAGCCAGTTAGTTGATTTCATGCTCCTAGGCTTAGCTTAAAATCTATCTGGCTTTTGAAAAAATATATCATAACTTACCGATTCCTACATTACGCGTAGTACCTACATCGAGGTTCTGCCGCTAGAAACTCTGATATCTCCACTACTTCTTTCACTACAGCTATTTCAATCTCTACGACCTGTGGACTCCTCCCGAGCAGCGCTCCGGCTAGCCTGCAGGCTTACTGAGGCTATGGAAACATAATTGTATTTTAGTGATAAAATACCGCTGTAGCAAAGGCTTAGTGCAAAGCCATCGAGCAAAAAAAACTGATCATTTTCAAAACGTAGTATCTGCTGAAAATATGAAATTAACGGGACCCGCTGGGGTGAAACATTTGAACAGACCTACGAAAGTGTAAAGTCACCGGTATGCTAGATGACTATCAGCTGGTGCATTTTAGTATCACTTCTACACGAAGTACTACTTAACAGCTAGTATGCATGCTACTATCGTGTTGATAGTAGGTTCTAATCATTGTATCAGTTTAAAAAAAGGAGAGTAGTACCGGTAACTGTCCCGTAAACAATACAATAGCTTTCTTAAGATGCTCGTTCATGTTCATAGTACTGTATGAACTTCAAACAGTATCACTGTACCTCAGTAGTAAAGTAGTAAAAAAAATGCCAGAATTTATTAGTACCGTATTCCTTATGTGATTGGCGACGCTCGGTCATTAGCGACAAATCCAGCAGCCAATCAAATTGATTTAAATTTCGTGTCGTCGCGCTTTATGTGCTTGGCGACCAATATAATTTTGAGCATGTCATATAGTTTTTTCTATGCAGGTATCTTTTATGCTGGCAGAAAGGCTGGACCACCTCAAGAATTTGACTGTCGCCAATCACATAAGGAATACGGTACTGTATAGATGAAATCACTTGTTTTTGTTGTTTGTTTAGTTGAACCACTTGTTCTTTTTGTATTTTGTTTAATGCTGCTCCCTACGTTCATGTTGCAAACTATTTTTATTCCTGTATGGAAGCGACCAAAGCCGCTACCAGTATTATATACACCACGCACCATAAACCTTGCTTCGCTCTCCGCCGTCATTTTCCACGTCAGCTCAGCTGTCCGTCGTGTTATGGCTTAAAGCTCAATGCGTTTGCCGCCGCCTCCGCTGCTGTTACTCGCATTGCTCATCGTGTCGCTAGTCTGACGACTCTTGTAGCTGCTACTGCGGTCGTACGAGCCGCGACGAGAGCGTCCACGGTTGCCGCCGTTGTGGTGGTTGCCGCCGGTTAGCGACTGTCTAAGCGAGGAATTTCTCACTGCATCGCTGCCATAAGACTCGCTGCGGTCGTACGAGCTACGACGAGTGCCGCCGCCTTCAACACTGCCAGTGAATGATTGCCGCAGAGAAGAGTTGCGCCTGTTCTCGCCATTGTTGAACGACTCGGTGCGGTCGTACGAGCCGCGACGCGTGCGGCCCTTGGACTTGCCCGTGCCGTTTGTGTTAGAATGTTTGGTAGTAACAGTGGAGCCAGTGAGCGACTGACGCTGTTGCTGCTGCTGCTTAGCGTCCTCCAGCAAGTCCACGCCAAGTGTCACACTGAAGCTCACACGATCGCCGTTGTCTTCCGGCTCACCCTCCATGACGAGGCCCATGACCTTAGCTGGAGACTCGAGAGGCCCGTCCTCACCTGTAGGCTGACGAATACCGGCGCATTTAGCGGGGGCACTAGGAGCAGGAGTTCCTGAAGACGAGCCCGTGCTAGATATGGAGGAAGAACGACGGTCACGGCCCTTGATCACCTCTGCGAACGACAGACGTTCGCCAACCACCTCAGCTGTAGGCGAGGCAACGACGGCCGGTTCCTCTTCAGGTCCAGCATTCGAGATCTCGCGGATGTTGACGACACGCGACGACTTTGAGCTCTCTTGTTTCTTCGTGGCCAGCGAGTTGGCGCGCTTGATGGGCGTCGTCATGGGCTGGCTGGAGGAGACACTACTTTCCAAGGGAGGCGCAGGCGGCTGCAGCGTCGACAGCGACACGCGCATACCCACAGGCGGTTCCGAGAGTTCAATGGCCTTGGAAGCAGCAGCGATCGTCTTGTTGGCCGTCGCTTTGGGCTGTGGCTGCTTTGATGACAGCGCCAGCTTCGTCAGGCGAGGCACCTCTTCCCGGTGTTTACGACTCAGCTCGGGGTCTTGGCGCAGAATGAGACGAAGACGAGCGTTCGCCTTAGCAAGCGCCATGTTCTCGCCCTGCAGATGCTCCGTGTGCTGCTTCAAGTGGCCCACCGTGTGACGGAGAGCCTGACGCTCATTCAACGCCTCACTCAGCGAGCTCTGCATAAGCGTGATCTTCTCCATCACTCCAGCATGTTGCGCCTTCAAGTTGCGGTGTCCAGTCTTGTAACGAGCCAGCTCACTCTTCAGCGCTTCGTTCTCATCCTGCAGCTTCATGGCACGCTGGTTGGCAGCCGCGAAGGACGCGCCGTTCACATACGCGCCACGCTCCATCACCTCCTTCTCCTTGCGGAGCTGCACACCAAACGCCTTGAGGTTCGTGTTAGCTTCCTTAAGTGAAGCATTCTCGCGTCTGAGCTGGTCAATCACCAGATCGGCATCCTCCAGCGCCTCCTCGCTACGCATGTGAACCGAAGCACGAGTGCCGTGTTGCGCCTGCTGCTCAAGCTCAATACGCGCCTCACGTTCCTGTTGCAGACGCTTCTTGAGCAACTGAATCTGGTTCTCGAGCTTGGCGTCTTCCTTTGCTTGTTTCTGCAGAACCGAGAACGCCTTGACAGCCAAGTGCATCCGCACGACACTCTGCATCGTACGGATCGCCTTCACCTTGACCTGATACTTACGACGAGCCACGAACATTTTGCACATGTTCTGGATCTGAGTAGCACGGTACTGTTCGCGCATACGCACCAGAAGTTGCTGAGCGCGGTGACGACGCACATACTTCTGCACACTGATAGCGGCCTTGCGTTGCGTCTTGTACTGTACCACAGCACGGTGACCACGGTACACCTTCTGCGCCACGATGGCCGCCTCCTTGACCTTCTGGAACATGGTCATGGCCATCCACTTCTTGGCGTAGCGCTGTAGAACCACAGCCGCGGCATTGAACTTGCGCGTACGCAGCTCCTCGAGCGCTTCGAGGGCTCCTTGGCGGAAGAACACACGCGTCTTACCGATCTGGTAGTCGCTCTCCTTGCCAGGCATCAAGTTCAGCAGCAGCTCACGAACAGCGGCCGCAGTCTTCTCATCGTCGCTCGGGTTTTCGTCGACAGAAGCTGTTAGCACAGCAAGCGCTGAAGGTTTCCCATCCTCAGTAGTGGACGACGCCACGCCACGGAAACGCTCGAGGAACATCGTCTGCAGCACGCGGTTGGGATACGCCATACGACTGATACGCACAGCCTCCACCACACCAGCACACTGAAGCTGCTCCGTCACACGCGGTTTGTTAAAAACTAGGGGACTCTTCTTGCCGTTGGGCTTGATGCAACGAATGTAGTGGACGTTGGTGCGACGAATGTCCTCCATCAGTCCGTTCAACTGGCTCTTGAACTGCGTGCCCACAGTGTCAGCTACGATCGAGCTCTTCCGTCTCAGACCTGGACGTCCACGTGCAGGACTAGCAGCGTTCGTACCGGGGATACCCGTCATGGCGTCGCCCACGTGCTCATCTGGGAAGAGTTTCTTGAGGAACGGCGCCTTAGACTTCTTAATCAAAAGAATCAGATCATTCTGAAGCGCATCCGTGTTCTTGATCAAGAAGCCTGTCGTGTCGTACTGCACTGGACCAGCGTAGTGCTTGATCACGAAGGCGTCACGGGCGAAACGAGGGCACTCGAAGCGGTCGTTGTCGCTGTAATGGGCCTTCAGTTTGTTGGCAAACGCAGCGTCGCTACCCTTGGGCCGCATACACTCTTCGTTCAGCAGAGACAAGACACCGAAACGTCCTTCAAGTAGCGACAAGACGTTGACGTTATCAGCAAACTCGATACGCGTCCAGGGAATGCCCTCGTCCTCGTATTCTTGCTGGATGGACTTGAAAACGTCCTGCGTGAACTTCTGCTGCAGCTTTTCGTTGGCGTAGTTGATGCACAGCTGCTCAAACGAGTTCTTTTCGAAGATTTCGAAGCCGAAAATGTCCAAAATGCAAATCTTGTGAGCCACATCTGCGTGCGCAGCGCTCGTCGACATGTTTACGCGGTGGATCAGCCACGAAAACATGTGCGAGTACAGTGCAACACCCAGAGCTGTTCGTGCTCCCTCGGCTTGCGAGACGTTCAGCGGCACCTCGTACGTCTCCATCACCGCAGTCATCTCACGCGTGCAGAGCGCAGTGTGCAGCTGGTTGTCGTCAAATTCCAGCAGCTGCGACACGAGTTCGCTCGCTTTCTGGATCTCCGGCGTGCCCGTAAGCTGCGACGCGTCGTCATTACCTGGCTTAGGCTCGAACTGCAAGCGAGACAAGTGCAGAATCGCCGCCACGACCTTGAAGATGCTCATCTGGTCCTCCTTGGACACGCCCATCGTCTCCAGACACGACACAGTCTGCTGGAATCGCTCGGCATCCTTCAACCCCGCACTGACGTCAATGTTTTTGCCCAGATCCTCGTCATGCGGCTTGATAAACGGGAAATCCTTGGCTTGCATGCCCGTGACCTTCACCTCCGTCGTCACATCTTCAGGCGCAGCCAGTAATTGGTAAAAAATGTGGTAATTGCGCTCGCCCAGACCTTGGAGTGACACACGCGACTTCTCCAGCAAATATGTGCGGGAGCGAGCACCAATCAGCTGCCCCAACGCGTCAAATTGCAGCTCCGAGAATTTACCGAATCGACTCGAGTTGTCGTTTCGCGAGGTTTTGGCGTTACCGAAGGATTCCATCAACGGATTGGCGTCCAATACACGCTCAATGATGTTGGCCTCCTTGGCCTCAGCGTCCGTCGTGGACTGGCTGCCGGCCGACGCCAAGTGGGACATCAATATCTTGGTCGTTTCCGTCTTACCAGCTCCTGATTCGCCACTAACCAGGATACTCTGGTCCTCTCCGAACACGCGCATGTGCTGGAAGGCACCGGCGCTCGTGGCATACACGTGAGGCGGCAACTCGCTGCGGTCGCGCTCCATGTATTGGTCCTGGAGCTCTTTCGTGTAGATATCGAGCCATGAATACTAATTAAAATTGACAATAGTTAGAAAATATCAGGTTGAGGGACAACAAGAGTGGGACACATGAGTTACGTACTGGGTTGACGGCAATGCAAATAGCGCCAGTGTATGTGTAGGGGATTTGACGCAGGAATCGGTGCTTAAGATTGAACAGGATGGCCGGCTCGTGTAGGTAGTTGAGGCTCACCATGTCGGCGCATCCGTCCTCAGACGTGAGCTCGTTTTGCAGCAGCATTGTGGATTTCTGTGCTCAGCCATAAAAAAAGATCGTAACTTATGGTGAGATGGGTTTGTACGTGGCAACTCGATGGATAGGCGCACACGTACGTCGATTTTGCGGATGGAACCGGCCTCAGGCTGCTTGGCATCGTTCTCCTCGGTCGAGTCGCCCTCGATCATCACCTCGACGGTGGTCTCACTGACGACATGGCCCTTGGTGATGGTGGCCTCCACCCAACTCACCTCCGGGTCTGGCACATAGATCTGCTTGGCAACAACGAAAGCTTAGTTGATGGTGCTTTGAGCCTAAAGCGAAAGGCACGCGCACCTTAGTCTGTTGTCCTTCCATTGCAACGGAACAAACGTGGCACAGGAAAGGAAAGGAAGAAGGTGGCGACTTGTGAGGGGATTAACAGGCCGGCGCGCTCTCTCTCGTCTCTATACCGGGCTACGCGCTCTCGTCGTCCTCCCCGCAAAAGTAGCTATGACGGCGAGGATTGCAAAGCTACGCGGGTAGGCGGCCGGCTTCCCCTCTGTTTTATGCTCTCTCCTCTCCAGAGAAAAATCTCGCCCCTGCACAAACCGATGAACTGGTCTGTCCTGTCTGTCCCCTCAACATGGTTTCACTTGGAATTTGTAAGCTGCCGGAAGATGTGCGCGCTTGTCTCTATCCCCACATGAGGAATTCGCAAAACAAGGTGTAGATAAATCCTACAATACGGAGGAAAGCAGTCCAAAAGGCGATGTGAAGCAGCTACTTCAACGAATAGGATCGCGTGCGCCATCACGCATCCATATATCCTTTTACGGGTTTTGGGTAGTGCACATAAAGGAAGCCATCTGAGCCCAGAACAATAACGACAAGCCATGAAACCGCGCGGAACGGATGCTGGTGCAATCGGCAAATGCACCTCAGGCAAATTGAGGCATGTTCCAGGGCCTGCCTCCTCCAATTCCTATCGCTAGGTGATCACAACTTGAAGTTGGTTGCAAGCGCGAGGGCGGCGGCGGGGACATGAATCAGGCCGTGATTGAGTCAGCTGGCCTGTTTGGCAATTGTACACCACATTGAGGACGCCTACATGTGTACACACCGTACTTGAGGTATCAATACTGCTCGAACTTCTAGTCGAAGTCTTCGACTCGAAGATCGCCTCCGCCCGAGCGCACAGCTGCATGAGCGAATGCCGGGAAGGCTTTGTTTTGCCAGGATTAAGTGCCGTGGCCTCGAGTGTCGGAACATTCTCGAACAACCGAGCATAACACGGGACATCATCCTGCATGATGCGGCTGCGCGGATCAAGACACCAAGCGCGTATCCATTATTAAATATTAATACATGTAGCGCGCACAGAGCCCCCACACACATGGCTACCTTCGAGGCCGCTGCCGTGGTGGTCGACATCTTCACGCCAGCTCAGACAGGTGTCGGTGCCTACAGATGATGATTCCGCGCCTCTGTGGTACAAGTGACTAAAATACCTGATGCACTGTACTGTGCTCGTGTTGAGGCCGTTGTTGCGGATTAATCGCTCCGTGGCAGAGACCCATTTTTTCCACTATGTGCAGCTGAACAGTTGAAGCGGGCGTCCCTGTGCCGTGTTCATGTCCACGCTCAAGCTGAAGCAGTTGGGGCGGTTGGGGAAGCCTGTGCTCGAAGAGGCACCTGCCAACGAAGCACCAAACAAGCTGGAGATAAGCTTTTGATAACTGCATTTAAATTGTGGCGGAAGCAATTGCATGGAGGGCACTTCAACTGCCCGCTGGCTTGAATCTACTCGCTCCAGAGAGCGTCCAGTGCCTTGAAGCACAGCGATCTCGTTCGCGACGTCCTGTAACAGAGAGTCTCCATAAATTTTGAGTATTTCTTTCCCAAATTATTGTGGCGTAACGGGAATTTTTGCTGCTACGCGTATTCTCTGGTGCTGCCCTGTAAGTCAGCTATTACCATGTAAAGACGCAAGAGGGCCACCTTCTAAGGCGCAGCCTGCGGTGCACAGGTTAATGCTGCGCAGGAAACAGTTGCCCCGTTGGCCCAAAAGTTTCGGCCCCAACCATTGGCGACGCTCCTCCCGCGAAGTCGACGTAGCTGGGAAACGAAAACGGTTTAGTGCCGACAAAGTCGCCCATTCGCAGGAAGCTTTTTTGCTCGATCCTGCAGTGGGAAGTTGTGCGCCGTAGGTTAAGACGAGTGGTCAGTCTTCCTGGTAGCATCTTGCTAGGCTCTACGGGTTAGCGATCCAGTGACGCTGTGCTGGAACCCTTCGCAAAAACTACCATAGTGTTGCAAGGAGTTGTCGAGGATGTACCGGTAACGAGCTGGGATCCAGTATTGTGAGTTCTAAGCTTAGTCTAAATTTCCGTACCAGCCGCTCCTCGGTCTAATATTTGTAGCGTTACAGTAGTAAGAAAACGGAAAATGTTTAGATCCGATTATTTAGTTCGCAACAACACTATTTAGTGCGCATTCAACTGACTTCTCCCTTAAGGAGGTTGGCCTTTCGTCAGACGTTTCTGCAAAATCTGCTCCGAATTGCATCGAGCTCGGGTGGGTTCTTGAGCCTCACAGCAAAGTTATTCGGGAGTAATCTTTCCAACATACTGCGTCAAGTCGATATCAATCCTCGCTGTGCGGTTCCTTCCATCCGCATTCTTGTAGGGTTGAACAGTAAAAGCATCGTAAATTTCGTTCAAAACGATGACGAGAAGGATGCGCGTGTAGCCTTGAAATTCTCGGCGCTGCGTCAAATGCTGATAGACATTTTTCAAGCGTTGGTATTTGATGGGTTGAGCTGTGGCCACTGTCGACTGGGCGTAGATAATACGACCAGCTTGTGGGACGATAAGCACACCATCAATTGCTGGAAAAGTCTTCGAAAGCGGGATGTACATCACCATTTTTCTCCTGCATCTCGGATGGAGCTTGAATCATTTCGCACGCTGCATTGAATGGACCATGCGTTGTGACACTTCCGGCGTTCTTTCCTTCGAGTGCTTTCATACAAAACTCGCTGGTGGCAAGTTCCTGCAGCAGAAACTTTTCGATTTCGTTGCCTCTCCACGACTGCAAATTTGGAGCTGGAGTCTGCAACAACGAGCGAATTGTATCAGCGCACCCAACTTGATAACGTGAGTTCATCATCGTCTCGACTGCCAAAGATGAATACGTCAAATACGAACGACTGGGCGCGTTCTCATTACGATAGATGTGAAAGACAGAATGCTTCATCCGATCGTCGAATACTTCTGCTCAAAAAGCCGAATCTGATCCTTGAGCTCATCGACACTGTGGGGAATATCTTGATTCACCTGTTCTGCCAAGTCATCCAACGTCTGGGATGATGAAAACAGGAGCCTTGGTTTGCCCCCAACGAGAGTGAACCTCCGCAACCACTCGTCTTGGTCCTCCAACTCCATCGCATCGGCGAGCCCCTGGCACTCCTCTTTGGTCCATGGATTCATGTACACCTTGAAGCACGCCGTCTTGACGAAGTCGTTGTAATTCTCAGTGCGCGGGCTGGCGAACACAAACGCACGGTTGAAGGCACTAAGCCGCAATGCCCCATCGGCTTCATTGCCGTCAAAAAAACCATCGTAGGTCCTCCCAACATGCGGCGTATCCGAATACTCGTAACCCATCGTGCTGTTCCAAGTGAAGTAGATCAGTGGATCACCAAGCGGGCGGTAGGCGATATCTTTTTGTTCCATCATGGACAGAAGCAGCAAGAACACCCCAAACACTGACTTCCCAATCCCAGGACTTCCAACCACAAGGATTCTACGGACCGATCTATCTTTCAGCTTGTTCTCGATGATATCGTGGAGGTCCCAATACTCCTGCCGGATGTACAAGCCACTGTCGATTGATGTGTTGAGGACTGTCGTCGGAGTATCCAATAAAGTCCCAACAGTGAGTTCCTTGGCACCTTTTTTCAGTTGCTGTGCAATTTCGACCAATTCATTCAACTGACGAGGATCAAAAACTTCCTTTTTTCGCCTATCACCCACGGCTTTGGCTGCTTCAAAGCGGAGTCTACTTGACTCTGCCTCGGCACTTCCACAATGAGCGTATCCTGTATATCAATACCGTCCAACGTAGTGCTCACATCCAAAGGCTTCTCTTTTGCGTCGTACGCCGCTCTGTTCGCGTAGATACTCAATTGATCTGCCACAACGCAGGCGAGAACGTTTGTTTCTTCGTGGCCAAACTTTGCGTGAATCTTCTTCCGAAGGTCATCGACATCATTGACAGCATCAGATGTCACTGAGGCTTTCGTTAAACTCGCAAAAGCGTCGCGACTTTCTCCATCCACCAACTGGTACCATACTTTCCGCGCCATCCTGAATGAATCTCTTTTTACGACCAACATTCTCCCTCGACTATTTATCTGGATACTTGGAAAAATATCCAGATAATTAGTCGAGTGATATTTTCTCAAATATCCAGATAGTTAGTCGAGTAAGATATTTTTTTAAATATCCAGATTTTTATTTTAGGCAAGCGAAGTGCTGTAATAGCACAGCCCAAATAGCTGGGATAGCAGCAAAACTACCGTACCGCAGCCGATAAAGGTTTAATTCGTGCAGTGCTCTCCCTGTTTAAGGATATGTTTTCATGCTGTGGTGTACAGTACCGGCAAGAAATTTGGAGCTTTGAAAACTTAATCGGGAATCCTTCGATTACTTAACTGGGAGTTTGATTGATTGATTGACATCAGATTGATACCAGCAGCTTTGCAGCTACTATTACTAGCCGAATGTCGTTCCTTGTGTTTTGCCTCCGTTCCGCTCGCCACGGGCTCGCTTTACTACTCGTATGGTAGGTGGGCAGATT